CTCTGTGCAGGCCAGTCAAGTTCATCTACACCAGACTCTGCCATCCATGTCTTAATGAATCTTGCTTTGTGCACTGGTGCACAGTCATTTGGATGGGTGAGCAAATACTTTTGGCAATACAGTGTAACTCAGAGTTAACAGATACACAGATGCTGTCAATACTGTATGAGCTTGCACATAATGCCATAAGGTTTATAGTATTAGACCGAAACTCATATTTCAACACAAAATGATCTTAGTCTAAAATACAGGCATGAAAGACAGCGGGCAATATGCATTCCTTGAATGAATGCAAGGAGTTTCAGTAGCTGCCATTTTTTCATCAATATTAAACACTGAAACAATCATTTTGCAAAGATAAATAAAATATGATTTCATTCATTGCAGTTACCAGGCATGCAAAGTATTATACCATGCATCCCAAATGATCAAAATCAACTGTAATGTATAATGGATGTTTTGTGTAATGTAAAGTAACGAGAGAAATTATTTCTAAGCATGTTACCATTTCAAGCGCAAGGGATGCACCTTAAAATAATGTACTTGTTTCTGCTTGTCTCACTGACTCATTTGAACTGTGCTTCTACATTTGAATCCTCTTAAAAATTAAAACAGAATAAAAATGAACTTGCTTTTGAGACATGAGCTAACTGGCAGTTTCGACCGACTTCATGCTTAAGAATAAAAAAGAAGCCTACAATTACAGATGGTGTCAGTTGTGAAGCTGTTAAGGTTCCATACAGTTTCTTTATTGCCAAATCCGTCATTCATTATAAATAAAATAAAGACAAAAACAAAAGCCCACACCACTGCTTACAAAGTATGCTGTTACTTGTTGAGAGTAACAGATTTGTCCAAGCCTTTGTTTGCTTATTTCACCATGGTTTTTTTTTAAAAAGAACTAGATAAAACTCTCTGAAGCAACTTTAAAACCCTGGTTAGATCTCCACTGAGCTTTCTAACTATGTAGATTCATTGATTCATTTGCTGGGAAGTRGCTTTAAAAGCAACTTAAAAAAAAWYACAGCCAGGACTTTGTCCATAGCCACAATGACTGAGTTACAAACTAAAACATACACAGTATCGCAGACATGACAGTCATTTAGGGACAAGGATGAACCTGGTCTCCAGTGACAAAGAGAAGCACCTGCTCTCGTCTTCCTTACACTCCCTGGACTTGATGATGATGATGATGGTGGTGTGTGTGTGTGTGTGTGTGTGTGTGTGTGTGTGNGTGTGTGTGTGTGTGTGTGTGTGTGTGTGTGTGTGTGTGCATTCAAAACCTATAAATAGAGGAAGTGCCTTCCCTAGCACTCGCTCCAGTGGGATCCTCTTGTGTTTTAATTAAATAAACTGCTGCAATGAAGCCCAGCTGTGCTCTGCATCCCCAGATTGCATCAGTCAGCATCCATGCTCAGGGGCGACATGCACTGTAAGGGCCGAGGTGCATATGCATACATGAAGACAGAGGCAGATGGTGATGAGGAAGGGCAGGGCGGACTAAGCAGTGAAATTGGGGCATTCTGCTCAAAGGCCACCTGGGTATCAAAGGAAGCCCTGTTCAGGTGTTCTGGATGGGTTCCCCAATGTAAAAACCAGCAACTCGACTCATCTCATTCACTATTCTCTCGCCTCATCTTATGTTTTCCTACATTATTCTATTGTTTTGCCCAAAGCATAGAATCTCCTTATATTGGTCTTAAGAGTTGTCCTAAATAGGGCTTGTTCTGAATGTTTAGAGCTAAAGTGTGCACATTTTTATTTTTTTATTTTTTGCTTTTTAACGCTTGTGCTTAAATGTGACCAAGTAGAATCTTATGTGTGGCTTTAAAAAACCTGGGTAGTATGTGTTGAGCATAAGGTGCAAAAGAGCGATAAACAGTAAAGCTAACATTAATCATGAGCTGAGGTTGTTTTTTTTTTCTGAATAGACGGATTTATAATGACTGCAGAGTTTCAAAACTTCACTTTTGTCTCATTAATCAACAGAGACCGATAAACCAAATTATCATTTCATAACTCCCATTTTGCAACTGTTGCTCAACATAAAAAAGTACCGTAATGCAAAGTTCTTCCAACAAACATTACTCATGCGAATCAGATAATGGCTGAATATTGATAAGGTTCTGGTAAGTGAAAATTCTCCTGTGATTAAGGGAATGTTCATTTCACTGTCAGGCGTGAACACATAAAATAACTTGTGAACCAAACTAGAGGCTCTCTGTGGGTTATAGGAACTGGGTAACTCTCAAAAAGACAACTTGTGCTTTCAAGACCAATCATTGCACAGTTGCATTATTTTGACAAACTACCATATTTCTCAGATATTTTCCATGAAGAAAAGTTACCAATCAAACAAAAACTAATATAACACATGGGGGAAAAAAAAAATTGTCTCTCTCAATTACAAATTCCTGCAGATTCTGTGGTGCAGAGATACACAAAAAACCCAAACTGACTCTAATAAAAGCTTTAAAAGACTATGACAACGTTCCTGCATTTTAAAAGGGCCAATATGTACAGTAATCCACTAGCAATTAAATCACCATTGACAAATAGTAAAATAGTGAATAAATGTATTTAAAATACAGAAGAGTCTGAGAGGGGTTACTTTGGGTACACTACATCTCAAACACTTTTGGTCATTAACTCAACTGTATTTCAGTTTCACAAGCTGCCTGTTCAAGATCTGCTTTTCACATCTCAACTAATGCCCCCCCCCAAAAAAAATTGAACTATACTGCTGTATGGTTTAAAAAAAACTAGCCAACATTAGAAAGCATTGCCTCTAAAAATCACACCTCACATAACTTGCTGGTTTATGGCCTGCTTTTAAAAGACTTAAATTGCAGCATTTAGTAACAGTAGCACAATTTGCCTTGTTCCCGGTTAGTATCTATAATTAATGAACTGGTGCTGCTGGTCCTCGCTCCGTTTTTAAACTAACCCCCAGTAAGCCTCCATGTCCATTAAAGCCCTACAACAGTCAACACCCTGGAGGATGAATATGGCTGAGTGCATCTCTCAGTTAGGCACCATCAATGCCTCAGCTGGGAGGGAAAAAAAAGTAGTGAGTAACTGAATAAAGGCTTATTTTTATCTCAGTCACTTAATGATTTACTTGTTTATTTCCTTTACATGTGGAGGAATAACTGCTGTCGCTAACTGGGAAATAGTGTCAGTAAGGAGTTCTGCATGCAAGAACTGATTGAATTATTGAGTCAACTGTCCTCAGCTGGTAAAAAGTGTGACTTGATCAATATACATTTCAGTGACTAAGAAGAACCAGTCTTCTGTTTAATTTATTAATTTTTTTGAAAGACTACACCTATACAAATTGCTCTAATAACAAGCCCATACTTTAGTCTACTTTAAATATTTGYAAATCTCATGAACTAATCAGTTTTTGGATCAAATTGGCAATCTGTTCCCATACCGCTCAAAAAAGGAGAAGTTACCACTAAGTTCTGTTTGAAATGATCCAATTATAGACACACACACACACACACACACACACACACACACACACACACAC